GGGGGGGGGGTGGAGCCGCTGTGACAGAACTAAGGACGAGCAGTGAGGGGAGAGAGAGGCGCCGGCTGTCAGATCCTGGCCGAGCGTCTCTCTCTCTCCTCACTGCTCTGCATTATAGTGACAGCGGCTCCGTCCTCCGCCCTCCCCCGCCGCCGGTTCCTTCATGTCTTCTCGGATCCCCACTGGGGAGAGCAGCGGGGATCCAGAGAAGCGGCGGGAGGAGAGGACATGGCGATCTACCAGTGATCGCTACGCGATCGACTGGTAGATCGCGATCGACCTTGTGGGCACCCCTGGTGTAAAGGTTTTCAGCATACAGACTATATGGGTTGTTTAAATATTTCTGCGCACTACATAGGTGTTGGAAAATCTGAAGGGAGGTTGAACAATAAGATTGTAATGTTTTTGGCCAGGTTTGGATGGCACTTGCGCTACATAGTTGTTGAAAAACCCAAAGGAGATTATACAGATGTTATGTAAGAATATTATATGGTGCGATGGCAGCTTTACAGAATCAGCATGCACTGTAATGCGTGTACTAGTTGGCAGAACATTTAGACTATTCTGGCTATCTATTGTAAACAGGCAGAAGTATGGTATTCTCTACAGAACCAGCTTGCCCAGCCAGGACCTAGTATCAAGGTGCTGTTCAGGGATTGGATGAAAGTTTAACCGCACTCGTCTGTACTTTAGCACTGTTAAACTTTTTTTCCCCCCTCCTATATAGGCCAAGGCAGGTTCATTTTTACTTGTAGAACATCCTTGATTATTTAGCCAGTTCATGATCTCCATTTATCTGAAAATGTTGTTGCAGGTGAAGAAACTGTTAAGCAGAGTTTTACTGAAGGAATCCTTCTATTACCGGAGGTTAACAGACACTTGCACAGATGATGGGAGTCAGGAAGAGACTGAGATTCCTAAAGAAGATATTCTAGGTATTCTGTGAACTTCACACTTTATAAATGATGCTCTGCAGATTTCTGTTACATTTAATAACCTTTTTCCCCAATGGCCTCTTTACCAGGAAACCGATTGCTGTTGCCATCCAAAATCGTACGATCTGGGGTATCCTCTGTGGATGAAAAGGGCGGACTGATCGTATACAATGGTGCAATGGTTGATGTAGGAAGTCTACTGCAGAAACTAGAAAAGAGTGAGAAGGGAAGAGCAGAGCTGGAGCAGAGGCTTCAGGCTCTCCAATCCAAGACAGGTATCATAATGACAACCCATAAAATCAAAGTACTGTATATACAGAACACTGCAAAAGGAAAAGCTATTTTTATTTCAGACTTTGCAGGTCAATGGCAATCTGTCAGAGTGTGGTGTGTGGTGGAAGGAGCCATTTTGTGACTCACTTGTCACATATTAATTCTGTGTCAGTGTAGCTAAAGTTTGCATAGTGTGCTCTATGTACCCAATAGAACAGCATTAAGGTATGTGGGCTTTATTATTTAATGAGTTGACTTACTAATTGGCCTATAAAGTATATACACATAAAAGGTATTGGGGGGATTCCACAGCTGGCACCTGAATGTAAACAAAGGGCTGGGTATGCTGACCAAGATGATGTAAGCCAGCATCCTGGCCCCTTTGCTTACATTAAGCTATTAGCTAGATAATCTCCCAGATGGCACCTTAATGGGGCAAGGGATGAGTCACTGGTTGCTAAGATGCCTTTGGTTGCACAGCTGACAGCCTCTTAGCAACCAGTGGCATGGCTGAGTGGGCAGAGCCTGATGGAGCCCGAGGGACTAGTTCCCATCGGGTCCACTGAGTGGGTCTATTGTATAGCCCATAGCCCGCCTGCTGTTGGGTATAGAATCTGCCCTCTTCCTGATCTCAATCAGCAGCAGAGCTGACCTAATGGGGAACTATTCCTTTGGCATCCCCGTCAGGCTCTGCCAACTTGTAGCATCACTGCAGGGGATGGGAGATGCTTAGGTACTAGTTTCCCATCAGGTCTACTCTGCTGCTAATTGGCAGCAGGCAGTGAGTGGCGTCTAATACCTGTTTCCCTGAAAATAAGACCTACCCCGAAAATAAGACCTTTGTGCTATTTTTGGGAATTGCTTAAATATAAGACCTACCCCAAAAATAAGACCTAGTTGTGACCATTCCCAGGGCCGGTGGTGGCACAAGGGGAAACTTGAAGAGCCGCTGGAGAGAATCAGCGGGGCCCACGAAGCCAGCTCTAGAGGAAGCGAGGGGGCACTGGAGGGAGCAGAGCCCCATAAGCCGATGCTTCCTCCATAGCGCCTGCTGCTGTCACAGGCGGAGTGATACCAAATGCACTCCGCCTGTGAGGAATCAATAGTGAAAGCGCGCTTCCCTCATTCTGGCCAGCAATTGGTTACCAAATTGCTCTTGGAAAGGTACGGCACCCCTGATTGCCCTGATCACCCTCTTCCTAACTTTGCCACTCACTCCTGTCTTGTAAGTCTTCTACCGGTAATAAGTGTGGATTGTTGTACATTAAAGAAAATAAGACCTAGTGCATTTTGTTGAGTCAAAAAAAATGTAAGACAGTGTCTTATTTTCGGGCAAACACGGTAGTCAAGCCAGCCTACTATTGGCTATGGACTCCACCCCCTACAGGCTGTCAATCAGCAATCTGAGCAGACCTGATAGGGAGATTAGAAGCTCAGCATCCCTGTCAGGCTCCACCCACTCACAATAGAAATCCTTGGCCGCTGTGCATCTCCGCAGTGCAAATGGCGGTACTTCCGGCAGATACATGACTTTGGGGCGAGCACCAACATTTGTGGGTAGACCTCTTATCTGATGTGGTTTTGTAGCAGCATTGATGAGTAGTACATGGGTTAAATATTATGGTTTGTTTTGTTTGGTAATCAAAACCTTTCCTGGTTGTAATGTTAGTTGTTGTGCAGATTCTGGATCTCCGTGGGGACCCAGACAGGCCAGGTTAAAGCTGTATGCAATTAGTAGTTCTAATGCCTCCCTAGTACAGTATATATTGGGAGATCCTCCTCCCCATTATCCTGTTGTGGCAGTAAAGCAGTGCCAGGCACTCTTTGACAGCCTATAGAGCTCCAGTAAGAAAATAGTATTAGCCTGATGAGCCCTACCTAGAGAACAACAAGTAACTGATCTTTTCCTGGTAGGAACACTAACGTACACATATCAGACTAATGCAGATATACGTTTAAAGTGAAGATAGCATTATGACAACCTGTCTTCACGCGGGACACAAAGGGACCACAGAGCAGTACACTGCTACTGGTCCCAAGCTGCTGCTGTGTCTGTATAAAGCTTCTTTCCTTTCTGTTTTTTCCTTCAAACACTTTAGTTTTATAGTCTTTTAATGCATTCTATGGATGACCCATTTGTTAGTCTGTGTGACTCACTACTATGTTTCACTTTGATCCACTGCTATGCTTTGTCACAGAGGTAGATGAAAAGACCATATCTCAGCTAGAAGCTTCAAATAAAAGTTTATCTGGAGAGCTGAAAGAAGCAAAGAGTGACCTCCATCACTTACGGGAGAACCTAAAATCTCTGGAAGACACAAATTGCCAGTATGAGGACCAGCTGACTAAAACCATTCGAGAGCTTTCATCAACCATGGAGGGAATACAGACCGTTCTCAGCAGGGTAAGTGTGTTTTTTTGGGGCACTGCACATATATAGTTGTATGCTTGCGCATGGGGACCGTATACTCTCCTTAGTGGTGATGTAAGAATGATGTTTCTGGGGACCAGAGTTTTCCCTCGGTTTTGGATTTTACCTATTAAACTGAACATGAAAGATTTATTGTATTGTTAGACTGGTCATTCTTAAATTGCAGTTACACTGTATATTATTACTCCATGTGCACGCTATACACAGGGATTCGATTTCTGCTCCGCACAAAGTAGATCCTTGCTATTTAGCTGTGCAATGTAAAAGCCTCACTGACCAGTAGAAGCTCTCGTATAGGACCATGAAATGGTGGGGGAGCCAAGCTGTCTGACAGAAGTTGAACAAGGTGTGCCCAGGAATCGGATTTGAAGATAATTGTATTTACTTTGCCTTTATGTTGGTCCGATCAGCTAGCTGAAGGGTAATGATGGGGTATGGGCTTACATGACATTTACTTGCAGGAATTGGTGGTTTTATGACATGGGGCATGTATTGTAATTTTGACTTGCTTCCTCTTGAATCACCAGCTAGTTGCTGACTGGCATATGGGCTAGTTGGAATAACTAGGGATGCACCGCTACCAAGGTTGAAAGACTTCCTGTGTCCGTGGAGGGACACGGGTCAGACATCTGTGTGGTTATGATCATGCTCTTGCTACTGCTAAACTGAGGCATGCTGGTAATAGGAGGGGTTATCCTGGGCTGGTCTACATTTTCTTTTTGTACCGGTGTCCACTATTCCTGTAGGTAGCAGTATATCCCTCAGTGGACTCCAAAGAAAAAGAGAAATATGGGTTTGTATGGTAACATTTTGAAGGGCACATTGGAGATTTTCATTTCTGTAGTTATAGTATAACCCATCAGTACAGAGATCAAGTTCTCCTCCGTTGTGTCCTTCACTGAACACACAGAAAAGGATTATATGGCGAGTACAAAGAAAATCCTATTTTTTCAGAAGGAAGTTGGCAATATCAGCCTCTCTATTTTCTTATTACAGTTGTTTACTTTAAAGTAAACCTGTACAGAGAAAGATGTAGGCTGCCACTGCTGACCTCCTCTTATTAAAGCCAGGAATTGTTTATTTTAAGAATCCCCTGTCTCCTTCTTCCTCGGGTTAGTACTGTGAGTCATGGAGTGTCTCCTCCCAACTATGCCCTCTGTTGTACTTGGGGCTAAATCCCTATCACACTGCCAAATATTTACTCCAGCTGTGCAGCCTGTTGTACTTGCCCCAAAACAGCCCCTTCACTAGCTGAGCATCTCCAACTATACATTATTTTGTACTCACACCAACTAACTTTATATGTTAACAGAGTCCTCTGACGTCTGAAGATCAGAAGTCAGAAGATCAGAAGTCAAAAGAGAATGGAGCCAGTTTTTGATGCAACTTTCACTTGTGTTCTGGAAAAGGACAAACAATGCAACGTCATTAATAATGCAAATCATGATTTTTCAGGGTGAAGAGAAGATGGTATGTAGTTTTACTTAATATTTAATGGAGGAGAGATGTAAATAGTTTTATGAGTGAGCTGCTTTTGTAGTGATTTGCCTGTAATTAACAGCACAAAGCAGAATATACATTTTTCAATCATGTTTAGGATAACGTAAATGTTAGCAACTAAACTAGATTATGTAATAAATACAACCTATATATATATTTTCTTTTGCTATCCCTCTTTTTTTATGTATACAATGACTGGGAAGTCCTAATTATTTTTATCTGGTCTTTTAGTATGTATTATTTCCATTTGTTGTGAGGAAATAGCTACATAACCTAGATTGGCATTACTCGGCAATAACATTGTAGCCAAATGTCCGCGAATCCATTGGAATTATATGTATTAATACACTGCATTGTCGGTTTCATTTCTTCCCCTAATGTAAAAAAAAAATGCAAGCGGTATTTAATTATTATTATACAAATACAAGGCCAGCCGAAATGAATAAAATGCCTCATGACAAATTTACCTTTCTGCTGTTTGTGTATGCCTCAAGTTTGTAAGTCAAAAGAATTGTGGTTTTTGAAACACTCATCTACACAATTTAACTGTGTGTGTTGTGTTGGTATGATATACAGATATCCTGGTATCATGGGGATTTCTTTCAAGTATTTAGGAATTGTATCAATTTAGAAAACAATGCGTTAATAATTTATAATATTGCTCATTTTATTTTTTCCTAAAACATTAAGGGTCCATTTACATTTTAGTGGTGCGGTGCATTGACTTGGTGTGTTAAGCTGCCTTCATACAATTCTCCATTTTCCTTGATGCAGTGCACACAGTACAGTATGGATGTTGTGGTGTCCTAAAGTGCAGGGCGCTGGCCTGCCATTTAAAAAGGGCACCACACCACAGTATGCACATTGTACATGTGAGTGGGCTGGCAAGGACTTATCACATAAATCTGTTGGTTATTGCTGTACAGGCTTTTGCTCTTACTTCGTGGCAGGCTTTAACAGTGAGGAGATGACCTCCACAGCAACTACTTCTACACCCTTGGTTCTCAACTGGTGGGTCGCGACCCCTTGTTTAGTGGGTCCCAGTGTGGCTTCCACCTTTCTAGGTGAGAGGTTCCTCACCCTAGCGCAGCACGGTCAGTTCTCGCTCCAAGCAGCCATTCAAAATATGCTGCCCGGTGCTGAGTGTCAGCTTGAGGTGGGCTGGGGGTATGGCCGCTCCATCCATACTTGCATTGCTTACAGCTCCCTACCTGTCCTGTAGAGGTGCCTGGAGTGACATCACAATCTGGCTCCTGGCACCTCAGGGCATGCAAGGAAGCTGTACAAGTGGATGCACATATGGATGGAGCTCAGTCACAGCAGCCCACACTGCGTTCCATTGCAGTGAGACTTGGGTCACGAATTAATGAGCAAGGAAAAAAATTTTGGTCTTGAGGTTACACAGGTTGAGAACCACTGCTCTAAACCAACTCCAAGAATGTTTTTTAATCTTGTTTTTTATTGTGGATAAATGATTGACTACAAAGGGTAAGTGTGCTTAACGTTTTTGCTCCTTTGCCCTGATATAAACCATCCCCCCCTTCCTCCCCACAGATGCATACTAAGACAATCCAATGGCTTTGGCTTTTAGTGATTCTTTACATCTTGGCCGCCGCACCTGCACATACAGTCCCATAGACTTCTATGGGGGTGTATTTCCTGCTGTCCCCGGCATTGCAACACAGCCCCCATAGAAGTCTATGGGGGCTGTAATGTGTAGCTGTTGCCATGAGAGTGAGGCTTATGGGGCTGGATGTTAAATAAATCATGGAGGCCATGCTGGCCTGTTGAAGTGTACTTCTGTAGAGGGGAAGGATGGGTTAATCTATGTCAGGGCAAAAAGAACAAGTGCACTTTTTACAAAAATACATTCCATGGCTCCCAGTACATTAGTGTTTTTCTAAAGCTACCTTTAGCATGCTGCACCAGAGGGAAAGAGAGATTTACATGAGGCAGATTGCTGATCTGTGCAGTTGTAGGAGTACCTTTCCAATGCCTGGCAAATCCTTCCATTTCAAATCAATCGCCTCTAGTGCTGCCTGTTCTGCCATCTCCACCCCGGACTTCTTCCGGGTTCAGGCTGCCTGTCAGCAATTTTTAGTCCACACACTTCCACGTTAATATACTGAGGCAATAGGGTGCATGACATTTTATTTTTTGTAAAAGGAAAACAAACCTTTCGCAGTGTTCTGCATGTGTACGCATTTCCTAAATCCTGCAGTTAAAACTTTAAAGGCAAAAACTAAAGTGGATTTTCTGAGAGCACTTATGTCAAGTTACTGTAAAGGGAACTTGTCAGGATGAAACACAGTAGCTACATTTTGTCAACTTGGCTTCATGAATTTGTAAACATGTTTTTGCTGCTGGTGAAGATGACTAGACAGGAGCCTGGCCCTTCAAAACCAAAAGTCAGTGTTGGCAGCTCCCATCCCAATGTACTAGATTATCCCGGGAGCAGTTATTTGTATTTCACAATAATCACAAGGCCACGCACAACATTCAGGGTACATTTAGCTTTTTTTAATGCAAATCTAAAAGTAGAGGAGCAAAAAAGGTTTGAGTCTTGTCACATGTTCCCCATTGGAGGAAGTTTTCCCTCCCTTTAGTATCCATTGAAACCTGTCTGTGGGATAGGAAGTAGGGAAGATCTTTCCAACAGGGACTTGGAATAGAAAAGCATGAGAGGATGTAACCTTCCCTCACTACAAACAGGTTTTGGCTGGAGTCCCGCTATTTAAAGGCAAGCTTTCTTTAGGCTAGAATGGGGAAAGATAAACAAAAAGGCAGCGAAGTAAAAAAGGAACTCCAGGAAATGGAATTAATAAGGATATACTCATTTGATCCTGTAGCAGTAAACGCTCACCTATCTTCCACTCCGAGGGATGTTCCACTGCCAGTGTTCCAACATCTAATGCAGCTATAATGTTGTTATAGTCCCTTAAACCACCAGAGCCCTGAGGGAGAAGAGGCTGCAGGGACCAGTCTAGCAGCCAAGCAGGACCAAGGCTCAAGTGAGTATATTTATTTTAGACCCTAGACCAAATGAGCAGTTAACACTTGCAATGCAGAGATAGCATAAACCCTTGCAGTGGGGCTATCTGGAGTGCTCTAAATATGGTCAGATATTAGTTTCTGTACAGTTAGGACTCCTTTTCCCTATATACACACACACAAGGAGGGGTGTAGGTTAAACACCACTGCAAGTACATTCAGATTGTGCACTGGTAAAAGGGACTCTTTCATGTTTAAAAGGGAACTATGGCACAGCATTTACTATGTTCTCCTGTGACCCCAAAACTTAGCAGATAGCAGGCAACAGCCCCACTATCTGCTGACAGCCCAGCGCTGCAGCTGTGACATATCTTGACAGCTGCCTCTCTAGAGGTCGCCCCGATCCAGTCAGTGCTGGAGGAAGAGATTGGGAGGTGGGGGGGGGAAATCCCCTGCAGGGAGCGGATGATGGGGAACTAGGTGATCGGCGGTATGTGATCACTCAATTCTCAATCAATAGAGCTGACATGTGACACGACGGCTCTAACGTTGGGGAATGATTGGCTGTCTCCTTTTAAAGCTGGCCATACAGGTTACAATCTCACTGTAAAATATCCTTTTAGATGTCCCAAAACTATGAGGGTCTACCTAACAGTCTATTCAGCTTACATCTGATCAGGCAGGTCCTTGATTAGTATAATCTTCAGATATTTTGATAAGTCCTTTTTAGCCTCACCACACCATATTAAGCATACACTTCATGTGAATAGAGATGACTCTACGTACCTGCTTAGGGCTTCCACTTTCCATCCAGACATAGCTGTACGGCAGACAATCTTCCCATTTAAACTGCTTCTTGGCTAATAATCATGTTATGAGAGCAGCAGCTTGGCCATTCTCTCCACAACCATTTGTAGGCTCTTTGTTGAGTCATGTGACAAAAAGCTGAAGTCCCGCTCGGCCTACGTGTTTCAGCTTCACCATTTCTTAGAATGACAATTCTAACACATCCAGGCCATGGGGACATATTACATGCAGCATAATCATGTACAGGTTGACACAGAACATGCAGCAATTCTGTTTAAATTACTTTATTGCATATTGTCACAGATGTTCAAAAATATTAAAATCACTTTCCTCAAAACATGTCTAAAAATATAAAAACAAATAAAGCTTTCATATACAAACTATATACATCATTTACAGAACATTGACAATAGACTGAGAACAGGTCGTCTGCAATATTACTCACTCAGCCTCCTGACTTACATCGTGTTATTACAAAATAAAGCACTTTCAGTCTCGTATGAATGATTCTTTGGACTCATTAAATATTTAAAAAATTATTTTTTCCCCCCCGGTATATAGAACCAAAAGGAAAATATTTTCCTAATTACCAGAACATGGCAGCATATGAAAGGTCAAGGCACATTAAAATATCTGGTTTCCCATTAGAAATGACTATTTAGGTTGGCATTAAGTAGAGTGTAATTGTCCTAATTGTGTTTAGAGGAAAGAGGACAAAAGTGATGCAATTTATCCCTCATGAATCCAACTTACACTGAAACAAATCACATATAGTGTGTGTTGTGCTTTAGTTTATAGATTACACTCTCTCACACACACACACACACACACACACACAAAATGCCTGTTCCATTTGAGTGAAGATGGAACCTTAGGTGCACTACAGGAGCAGAGCATTATATCCGAATGGTGAGAGTTTAGACGCAAGGCTCATTCACATTAGATGGGTCAGATATTGCAAGTACTGGAATAGTCAGCAGAATACATAGGACGTGCACCATTTTTCCCAAACTCCTTGCATGCTGCCATTTTGTTGTTATGCATTTTACCAGTTGAAGTAAACGGAGGTTTGGACGCATCGGAAGGCACATGGCAATATAGGTGCATCTTCAACTACAGCTGGTGGGACCAAGTTCTAAGACTGGTTTTATTGTGTAGTCACATAAGTGGACATAAAAACCAGGTAAACCTGCCAGTGGATACAACTGCACATAATGGAAGTCATCAGCAAATCAACTGTACCAAACAGCCAGGTAATTAATAGTGAGACTACAGTTTTTTTATATTTGAATTGAGTAGGGAGGGATCAGAACCTCCATCAGACTTGTTTTCCTGTTCATGTCCCAAAATGTTTCCTAGGTCAGTGATAACAGACGTTAGAAGATCTCTTCAATGGCAACACATATTATTAAAAACCCCCATGGCAATTCTAACCTCTTACACACACTGTTCAAGTCCTCACTTCCTTGCCTGGTTACAACGCATAAAAAGATAAAAAAAATCCCCCCAACTGGGACACAGATGGCAAGTAAAAACCCTGAAAGAGTCTAATCCTTCCCCCACTATTTAAAATAAAAAAAAAAAAAAAGGTTTTGGGGGGC